TGCCTGCAGCCCCTGCTGTGCCGGTTCGATCCCCAGCTGCTCCCCGGCCACCAGAGGAGGGTCCCACATGGCACGCAGGCCTCTCTTGCCGCCCACTGCTCCCCTCAGCAGTGTACTTCGGTCCTTCTGCCTGCTCTGCTCCCTGCTCTGGCTCTGGTGAATTCTCTCACCCTCCAGCGCTTCTGACTATACCCAGTGCTTGTAAAAATAAATATTTTTTAAAAAATTAACCTTAACATGAAGAACAATATTTTTCTTTTCATAAGAAAAATCACCCATTAAAATTTTTTGAGGAGTGATGGTCAGCATAAACCAAAAAAAAAGAAAGGATAAATGTTTGTTTTGGTTTCCCTAATATCTTAATCAGATTTTATGAGAAAAGTAAGAAATGTCTTCCAGAAGAAAAATAATTTGATATAATATTTTCACCCTTTATTGCAATATCTATATTCCTTATTTCCAATTTTGGAGTGTCACGTTTATATTTCATGATTTATAATGTAGACATTTGCAATGTGGGGCCTCCCTGGTGGTGGAGGGGTTAAAGACAGTGCTATCAAGCTATGGCCAGCCACTGCAGCACAAGTTAGATCCCCAGCCAGCCAGAAGCAATCCACATGGTGCAGCAGACCTCCCCTGTCTTACTTGCTGCTCCCCTCAGTAGTGTATCTCAGTATATCTGCCTGTTCTACTCCTCACTGTCTCTAGTGAATCCTCTCATCCCTGTCATTTCTGGTTTATACCCCAGTTCTTGTATGCATAAATAAATCAATCTTAAAAAAAAAAAAAAGAAATTTGCAATATGATGAGTAGTGGAGTCATAATTCACACCTCTCAGAAATCCATCCTGTTCATCAGATTAAAGTTTATATTCTAAGCACTGTTTTAATACCCATCCTACTAATCAAATTAAAGCTTATATTCCAGACTAAAGCTTGTATGTTGAACTGTCTAGAAGTCTGACCAATCACTTCAAGGTTAACTATTCTTGGGAGGAAACGAGGAAGGAAGGAAAGCAAGGGAAATGCTCATGGTGGGCAGCCTGCTTCATTGCTCACAAGGCAATGGTCTCTTTTATAACTGGAAATATTCTTTGTTTGAAAATTTATATTGTCTTACATTAGTATAGCCAATTAATCTTTTGATTTAGTGTTCATAAAATATATCTTGTTTATTTTTTCAGAGTGACTGTATTTTCACACTTAGACTGGGTTTCTTATAACTCATAATTGAGTACTGCTATTTTCAAAGAAATCTCAAAATCTTTGACTTTATATTCTGAAGACCATTTGCGTTTCATGTAATTTTAATATAGTTGGTCTAAATCTACCATCCTGCTAATTGTTTTCTTTTAGATTAATATTTTCTTTATTCTGCTTTGTTTCTCTTTACTGCTTTTTTAGATTGAGTATGTTTTTTATGATTTTTTCTATTTAAAATGTCAATTAAAGCCATTTTAATTTTCTGAGTGATTACTTTAGATTTTGCAATGCAAAATTTTAACAATCAGAATATACCTTCAAATATAACACTTTTCAAATCTGATTAAGATTTTTGATGATGTATTTCTATTTCCCACTTCCTTCTTATATGTTCTTGCCGCATTTTACTTCTGTATGTGTTTTTGCAAAGACATTTCTGTCCTGTTAAGTTAAAAATATCCCTTATTACAGTTATTTCTGTAATTCCTGATATGTTTTCTATTTCCTTAGAAAAATTCAAATGTCCACCTGATACCATATTTCCAGTGCCTATGAAATTCTTTAAAATTCCTTGTATTGCAGATCTGCTGACAATAAATTTGCTTTTTCCTGACTGAAAGGACCATATTTCCCACTTTTTACTGAAAGATACCTTTGCTGGATAGAAAACTGGGTTGATGATTTTTCAGCACTTTGGAGATATTTCCCTACTGTCTTTGGACATTCATAGTGTGTTTATTTTCTGCTGGTTAACAAATTATAGCCAACATTCATAGGCATTTTCTATTATCAGGAGTCTGGGCCGAGGGTAGCCCGATCTTTTGTTCAGGGTCTCATGAAGCTACAATTAAGGCATCAAAGCTGCATTCTCATCTGGAGGCTCAACTGGGAAAGGAATTGGTTCCAAGTTCCTTTGTCTTGTTGTTCAATACATTTGAATGCAGTTCTAAGATTTGTAGCAGCCTGTTATTGTAAACCAGCAAAGAAAATACTCTCCAGTGTGTTTGTTAGCAAATGAAGTTTTGATAATGTAAAATAACCACAAGAGTAACCACCTATTTCCTTTGCCATCATCTATTGCTTAGAATCAAGTCAATGGTCCCAATGAAGGCAAGGAACTAAACAAAGGCATGGAAACCAAAAGGCAGGGATTATTGAATGTCACACATCATGGGTCACACATAATTTCTGATGAGAAGCCTGATGTAATTCTTATCCTTTCATCTCTATCAGCTATATTTGTTTTTCCTCTGGCTAATTTAAGGACTTTGTATTTGAGTTTAAACAGTTTGTTTTAATTGCGTTTGATGTTCTTTGTCTTGTGTCTAGAGTGATAAGTCCTATATAGGAGAAAAAATCCTGTCCTACTTGGTGGTAGCAGGTGTCTGCTTTTTTAGTAGTATAGAATCCTAGTCTTGCAAGATTTTCTTGTCCCACCCCTAGAATCAGGTATATTTTGATTGTGCTCCTCCCTGAGCAACTTGTAGTGAGACACTTTGCTGCCCATACCTCAGCAGTGAAGGCTGTTGCCTCTTTGGAAAGGAAGGTTTGGAGGGAAATGTCAGTGCTCAGCCTGCTACTCCAGAAATGCTCTTTGTGCACATCACCACCAACGCAGCCTCTGCAGTTCTAACACTAAAATAATGGTGTTGGGGTCTCCCCAGTGGCACAGCAGGTTGAGTGCAGTGCTGGGAAGCTGTCTGCAGCCTCTGCAGCACAGGTTCAATTCCCGGCCGCCAGGGAGAATCCCACATGGCGCAGCAGACCTCTCCTGCCTCGCCCACTGCTCCCCTCAGCATGTATTTCAGTCAGTCTGCCTGTTCTGTTCCCCACTCTGTCTCTGGTGAATCCTCTCACCCTCCTATGCCTCTGGCCTATACCCCAGTGCTAATAAAATAAATAAATCTTTAAAAAAATAAAATAATGGTGTTTTATAAGAGGATAGCAACAAACTTCAGTGTTTGAACCTGATTCAAATAAATATTTTTATGACAGTTTTAAAAAAATAACATCAGTGGACCTCCCCTGGTGGCGCAGAGGTTGAGCGCTGGGCTGTGAAGCTGTCCGTAGCCTCTGCAGCACCGGTTCCATCCCCGGCCACCAGCGAGGGTCCCACATGGTGCGACAGACCTCTCCTGCCACCATCAACAGTGTATTTCGTCAGTCTGCCTGTTCTGTTCCCCGCTCTGGCTCTGGTGAATTCTCTTGCCCTCCCACACTTCTGACTGTACCCAGTGTTTGTATAAATAAATAACTAAATCTTAAAAAAAAATAAATAACAGCATAAAACAGCTTGGCCTGATAATGAAAAGTCACTAAAATATACATCTGGACACAGGCCAGAAAAACCAAAGATAGATCAATAGCAAAAGAGTTATTCTATGATGAATTAATTATGTGATCTGGCGTTACTGAGAAAAGATGGTGTTACCATTTCATACCAAATCTTATCAAGTTTATATTTTTTAGAAACATTAATTTGAAAGGTTTACCTGCTATAAAAATCTTCATTAATTTTCATGGAACAACTAAAAACAAAGTTTGTTATTATACAGGTATTTCTAAATGATAATCCAAAATTACTAGTGCATCTTTTCATCTGTAAATCAGATACTGGAGTCGAGTTTGCAAAGTTGTTTCTTTGAATTTTAATATCCATCACATTTTTCTTATTATGTTATTATAATTCATGAAGTTGAGGATAAACTACAGAGTGAATTATAACCTATTTTGTAGGGCAATATTAAATATCCACTTATGAATACATAAACTTGTGGATATAAATAACAGTTTTTAAACTTGTTTACATGCAATTGCATATAAATTTATGGAGAAAAAACTAAAATTACAAAAACATTTAATCTTTTCATTTAAAATCATTTTCAACATTTAATGTAGTTTGAATCAAGAACAACAAAATGTATTATGACCTGCTCATTTTCAGAAAAACCTAAGGTGAAACAATGTTCAGTCAATTAGGTCTCAATTTTCAAGGCATTATATAAAAAGATAACTTGTTACCAAAGCCATAGAAAAATAAATGTTCATTTATCAAAGGGTGATTAAATTTTATATCAGTCTAGCTTCATTTATCAGTATCCTTGGACTATAACCATTTTCATAAATGTAGGTAATTGAATGTAATTTTTAAAATTAGTACTTTGCCCAAATGAAATTGATCTAATTTTGACTTTTATTGCCTTAAAGAATGAACTATATTTGAGGGGGGAGTCCATTAAATTACCCAGCCTTTTCCAACTTTACACAGTGCAATTGATCATAAGGAAAGAACTTTTGTTAATTTTTAAAATTTTTTATGACTGTAGCTTAATCATAAATATATAAATTATCATATGTCTTTATTCATAATATTAGTGGGCTAATAGACCTCTATGTTCCCTCTCCATTTTGTGTTCTGCTCCCTTTCCCCCTCTCCTCCCCTTTTCTTCCCCCCATTCCACAAGTCAGCTTTCAGTTCTTTGATGGTGGGTACACAATGGCAGCAACAGCAAAAGTGGAGATCCCGCACTCCTATGCATGCAAACAATGATGGGAACCATTATTAACACAATACAAATATATAAAAAATTAAAAGTTATATATAAAACAGTTGTTCTTTTGGTCTCAAATAATGCATTTTAAGAAGCTGTACTACTAGTGTTTTTAATGTTTAAGATATATAAATAAAAATTTCTAAAATTCTGGAATGTTCTTGCTTATTTGGAGATTTGCAAATACGTGGTAGATTATAAATACCTTGAGGCAGAGATAACATGTTAATTGATTTGTATTCCCTAGATCTTGCTCAATAGTTGGCTTGAGCAAGCTGTCCAGCTAGTGGTGAAGAAGAATCCACGCTGAAGTCCTGTCCTGCTGGGTGCTGATGACTGTCCTACAAACGTTCCTGCCTAAGTAGGTATGGTCACGGGGCATTTGACATCTTTTCTTGATATCTCTTTCTTATAATGTGGTTGTGACTGTGGCAGTAGGACCTGAATTTAACTTGTATAGTTGAAAATAATATCATTGCCAAGAACAGTGCCGAATATAAACACAAAATTAACATTTGTCAAACTACACGGGAAAGGAAATAAAAAGCAGTTTCTTTTTCTGATTTGTTCTAATGGACAGAATCCCCAATTTTTCCTTTTATGCCTTTTCAATATTGCATGCGAAGAGGGATTTCCTAGAGAGCAGTGAGAAATATATAAAATTAGGAAGTTTCACATTCAATTTAAATTTTGGCCAGCTCCTATAATATTTTTTATTTTTGTCTGAATTGCCCTGTAGCTATGAAAACCAGTTTCTCATTTGAAGACAGCTAGTAGTCAGGAACTGATTTTATGATTGACTTCATTAGGAAACTTAGCTTCGTTAGTATAATTATGGAAATGTGGTTCTTAGCCTTGGGGTATTTTTTTTTCAGAGAAGATAATATCTCTGGGAGACAAACATATAAACATACAATTCATTCTAAGGAGAAAATATTTGTGAGATACTGAAATTTGAAAACTTTGGGATATTGGGATATTTAGGATTGTTGAGATCGCTTATCTTATCCTTATATAATATATACACATATAAAGCATATAATGAGGTACAAGCAAGTTTTATTTAACAAAAACAATAAGAAAAACAAAATAATTAAGAGAAAGTAAAGAGTTAACATAATATAATTCTATATAACTCAATTTTTATCATGTTTTTCTCTTGATGCAAAAGTATGTCATTTTAACTTCCATATAATTATACATTACTTGGAGGTTTTGTCCTAGAGACAAGAAACATAAAATATATTTCAGACATATAACAAATACATTAAGAAACCATAGCATCCCTTTTTCTGTACAGCATGGTTCTAAATTCCTTCTTTATTTTTCTTGCCTCTCTAAAAATACACTGGTAACAGCTACTATAAGACATCTGATTTTTCTGTTAGTCAAAAATATGTTTAAAAAAAAAACTGAATGCAAAATATAAAAAATATATTTATCAGGATTTTTGTATTGATTATAACAACAACATAATGACCTAAATCTACAATTTTATTAAGAATGGAAAGACAGTCTTTAAATTTCACCAGGAGGGTCTCTCCAGTGGTGCAGTTGAGCGCAGCACTGTGAAGCTGTCCACAGTCTCTGCGGTGCCGGTTTGATTTCTGGCTGGCCAGGGAGATACCCACATGGCACGGCAGACCTCTCCTGCCTGGCCCACCGTTCCCCTCAGCCTTAATTTCAGTTTGTCTGCCTTTACTACTCCCCACTCTATCTCTGGTGAATCCTCTTACCCTCCTGTACCTCTGGCCTGTACCCCAGTTCTTGTATAAAAAAATCTTTAAAAAAATAAAAAATAAATAAATTTCACCAGAAAGGAAAGGAGGTGTACGAGCATAATGCTGATAACATTTTCTTCATCTTTAGACACCCTTCTAGTAAGAAAGGCCAGTAAACAAAGAAAACTATAAATATTTTTCCCAAACTCAATGTTTATGACCTAATTTTCATGTCAGAATTGAAAACATCAAATCAAAATCTGTAGCATTTATCTATGTCTGTGTAAAATATATGAAAACAAATGACAATTGCTTTTCTCTCAATTAGAATAACATGGAAAAACATAATGACTTTCTTCCATGAAATAATTAACACTATATTTTATCCATAATAGTTTCTATCAATCTCTCTTTATAAATGGATTTCAAACTATTTCAATCCTCAGTATCTTCACCATTGCCATATTCAAAGCTATTCTCATTTCTAATCTTGAAAAGTAGCAGAGACCCTAAGCAAAATCTTTTCATAGGGAAAAAAGGACAGGCATTTGTACTGCAGATAACATTTTATGAAATGAAAATTATATAAAATAAAAATGTGCTCACACAAGTTCTCTTGGTAAAGAACCTAGGGGCTTTTTTCACTTAATTGAGTCAAAGAGAACACAGATAATGCTGTATTTAATGAATTCTACATCCACATTATTCTACTTTTTAAAAAATATCTCTGCAGCTGATATGTCTTATAATCAATGCTCTGCTATATTTGATAAAATATCATAACTCAAGCATCTTCATATCACATTGTCTCACTTGTTACTTGGAAGGTAATTTTATTGATAAATGACAGAGATGATTTTCATTGTAGTCATGTAAATTGTCGTTGGATCAGAAAAAATTATACATTTGGGTTGTGTCTGCCTTCTAAGACACATATTTGGATCTGCCCCAAAAGTTCAGTAGAAATAGAAGAAATCAACAGATAAGTGGTGAAAACAAATCCTCTAAATCAGGTTGATTTGAATATATTCTAATACTAAAAGTATCATGTGACAGATGATTCTGTGTCAATACAATGCACATAACAATAATTTTAAAATATTGTTGAAGATAAAAATCATTATTGTTGTAGCTAACATAATATGTATTCCATAAATTATATGTGATTATTTTTTAATGCTGATGAAATTTTTCTGACTGAAGCTCTAATATAAAAAGGAATATTTGTTTACATAAACTGTAAAGTAATAAAGAAGCTGTGTATTCAAAAATAGAAAATATGATTTGGGTCCATGACCCAGGGGCAGTTCCAACATGTGACACAAGGGAAGGCTTAAAAGATCAGTCAGAGAGAAAGTCTGAGGATAGGGCTATGAGGTCTGAGTCCATTGAGGCAATCTTTGCAACATATCTCAAGAGGCTAAGTATGTTGAATTTTTAGAACAGAGGACAGATGCCCAAGTTGTGCTTATGGGTTATTCTGTGAAGTCACGTGTGTAAGAAGAGAACCTGCCTGTGGAACAGACACAGAAATTCTAGTGTACACATACCTTGAGGATATCGCCAGTTCAGTTCCAGACCATTGTAATAAAGTGCGTTAACAAAGGTTTCGATTTCCCAGTGTAATTAAAAATTTGTTATGCTATCCTGTAATTATTAAATTGTAATAGCTTTATGTTTAATAAACCAATGGGCATAGTTTATTATGTATGGGGTGACTGGGGTAACGTCTTAAAATAAGATAATGAACTTTGCCATATCTATTGACTCTCCATTCACAAAAGATTTCTCTGCAGCACACAATGCTGTTCGATAAAATTTTATCCACAGTAGTTCTTTCAAATTTAAGGTCAGTCCTCTAAGACCTCCTTTATCAACTATGTTTATGTGATGGTCTAGATCACTTCTTGCTTTTTTCAGTAATGTTCACAGATCTTCAACAGTTGGTTCCATCTCAAGAAACCACTTTTCTTTTTCATAAGAAAAACTCTCAACCATTACAATGTAATCATGAGATTTAGAAACTTAGTGACATTTCCAGGTTCCACTTCTTATTCCAGTTCTCTTGCCATTTCTATCACAACTACTTCTTCCAAACTCTTGCTCATCTTGATATGTTAACTTCCTCCCATGAGTCACAAGTATTATTAGTGCTGTATTAAAATGTTGGGTGGGACCTTTCTAGTTGTCATCAAATAACTTTGTCCCTATCCATCAGAGAAATTTATAGTAACTATTTCCTTATGAAATATCTTTCTTAAATAATAATAATAATCAATGTGGTGGAAGCTGAAATTATTCCTTCATCCATGGGCTACAGAAATGATGTGTTCACAGGCATGAAGAAAACTTGAAACTGGTGCATTGCCTATAAGAAGCAATATGTTGAAAGGAATATCTTTTATTTCTGAGCAGTAGGTCTGTTGTGGGCATAAAAATTCAGTAAACTGTTTGATAAATTAAGTGCTATCATCCAATCTTCTTATTCCATTTGTAAAGGACAGCAGGAAGATTTGGCATATTTATTAAATTTTTTAATTTATTTATGCATACAAGAACTGGGGTACAGGCCAGAGGTGTGGGGGATAAGAGGATTCACCAGAGACAGAGTGGGGAGTAAAACAGGCAGATCTACTGAAATACACTGCTGAGGGGAGCAGCGGGCAGGGCAGAAGAGATCTGCTGCGCCATGTGGGTTAGCTTTGATGTGATGGTGAGAGCTTCTTTGCTCAAACCTCATGAACTAGCCAGTGCTAACTTGAAAGTTTTCTTCTGCAGCTTCCTTTCCTCTCTCAGCCTTCATAGAAATTTTCCTTTAACAACTTTCCTTTGCATTCACAGCTTAGCTAACCATTAGGTATGAGACTTAGATTTTAGCCTATCTCAGCTTACAGCATGCCTTCCTAATTAAACTTAATCATTTCTAGCTTTTGATAGAAAATGAGAGACATGTAACTGTTCTTCACTTAAACTTAGAGGTGATGGCAGGGTTATTAACTGGTCTAATTTCAACAATTTCACACAATTTTCTGTGTCAGAATAAGGAGGCTTCAGAGAGGATGAGGGATGGGAAAATAGTACTTCAGCGAGAACATATACAATATTTTCAGATTCTTTATCATTTGGCACATTTGATGGTGCCACAAAACAATTACAATAGTAGCATCAAAGATAAATCACAGATCATAGATAACCAGGACATATACTAGTTATAAAAAAAATTGAAATATGAGAATTCCTGGAACATGACACAGAAGCATATAGGGAGCATATGCTTATGGAAAATTGCTGCCTATAGATTTGCTCCACACAGATTTGCCACAACCCTTCAATTTGTTAAAAAATGCAACATCTGAGAAGGGTAATAAAATGAGACACAATAAAATAAGATGTTTGTATTCAAATGGTTATAGACAGAGATGTTCCTTGAAGGGTCACAAGACTAAATTTTGCTACATAATAAAAATGCCAAAGTCAGAAGCTGACACTTAGATTATATGTGTTTAACAGAAAGGTTGAGAGCTGATTATTTTTAAATTTCAAAACTTCTTATTAAATGTGTCATTGTACTTTTATTCTTTTCTTACATTTATGCTGAGTGAAAGGTGATTTTAAGTATTAGAATGTTGGCAATGGTGATCATA